TTTCAATAGTTACTGCGATATGTCGCAAAATGATAGTACCTACTACCTATTTCCATTTTGCACATTTTAGTATAGGTAAGTATACGTACATGATATTTATCTACATATGTAGTTCCTTTTGGGGCATTTCCAATGAAAAAAAGCATTATTGTGCTGCCCGTCCGAATATTGTTCATTCAACGGTCATATACCTACAACCTACTAGATCCTCATATAGTTCTATTTCCATATTTTGTTCGAAGTGGTCTCTAGGCCTGCACCAAGAATGCAATTTTTTCAATGCCACATGATACGATAATCAAATTACACCAAAAACCTAAATGTGCCGCGAACACTTAGTCTGTTTATTACCTACATTGACGATTTGTGGTTGGGTGTAAGAGCAGAGCTAGTTTGACTTTTTCCCATGCAAAAATCAAATTCAGAAATTAGATGCAAAACAAAACTGCAAAAGTGTATAATTTGCTACACAAGGTTTAACTGTTTTGACTATTGGCATTTTTTTATTTTTGGAAATGCGATAAAACGATCGACAAAATTAGTTTTATGTCTTTTGAAAAATAGGGCACAAATTCACAATTCACAAATTATTCTCACTCATTTTTTATGTACTTCACTGCTCTGCGTAGTAGTGGTACCTACCTACCTTTTGTTTATTGAGAAAGTTTTCAAGTAAACATTAAAACTTTTTATACGCTAGCATAGCTTTTTAAGGAAAGAGTTGATATATAACTCGCAATGGAATGTTTGTTTTATGGTAGGTAATTAGTCAATTAGTCAAAGATAAGAAAGACATAATACTCGCTTTCAAAGGATAGTCATTATCATAAAATTAACTTGCACAGGAAATATGTAATTAATGACGGGCCTTTATTTAATTGAAATGTCGAGATAAGCAGTACACCTACTTTGCAAATATGAGCAGGCAGATAGTATAGTCATTGAAGTATAGTTGTATAGATCTTAATTACAGTTTACAGGTTCAACATGAGATTTATTAGCTTTCTAGCGCGAGCGAGGGATCATCGTTTTTTGGACACGTTAAAATTTCATCAAATGTCGACGTTTTAGTTTATATCATTTTAAGCAACTTTTAAAGAATCAAATTTTTTCCGTCTGTATGTATATGCGTACGTTGGCAATTTACCGAGGTAACGGCTCGACGGATTTTGTTCAAATTTTGGGTATATGCATACTGAAACGAAAAATAACGAGCTGGATTTTTGATAAAAAAAATTGTGGAGCGCCGCAACAGCATCGAACTTTTTTTTCAAATAGCAACCTAAAATTTTTATTAAGTTGTTCGAAAGACCTAATTTTTCTGCGTACAACCTACAAATATGGTGTCAGGTTTTATTACAAAAAACTGTATATAAAAAATGTATTATTCGTTCAAATTTATTGTATCGCCTTCAAACAAGGCCCTTTCAAAATAATGCACTTAATACGCCAACGGACAACCCAATCATCAAAACATTTTTTAAACGCATTTGTTTAGAATCGACTTCATACTTGACTGGATACGAGTGCCTCAAAGTCCAAATGAATAATATACTGTGCTTCAGCTTCGGCATAGATAAAACTGATGTTTGCCGATTTATGTATACAGACGCAGAGGGAAGGTCCATCAAAATATTGAATAAACACACCACCCTAGTATTTTTATTCAATTTTATTGTTAAGCCTCCGACGTACAATGACATGAAATTAGTATATTAAGATACAAGTGTATAATCAAGTCTTTAAAGCACGCGCAACGAGTTTAAGGGCACGACGCAAAGCGGAGTGCCTTTAACGTTGCAAGTGCTGGACGTGTAATGAACGATATTTTTTATTATACTTCTTTTAAATCGATAACAAAAAACAACAAACTCGCTAACGTTTTTATTTTGTGACAGTTATAGAAAATGCGTTTTATTGGTTACTCTCAAATCATTTGAATGGCGATTTGTTTAATTAGTTTATTTCAGATAAGGTTGACGAAACGTCAAAAAATGTCACAAATTCTCAAAGAAGTTTATCTAAATATTCAAACATCTACGAATTAAAACGCAAAATACTTACATATGAAACATTACGACGCATATAGAATTTCTGAAAATTAGTTTTCTTCCCTGTAAATTTGTATTTTAAAGCAATATTTTGGGTATTTATATTCAGCGCACGGAAAGAATCAAAGGGGCCGGGAAAAGTGTTTCCGTGCGCTAGTCTGGAAAAGGCCAGATACCATTATTTCTAATACAGGTGTAAATAAGGTGATTTCAATGAAGTATAATAAAAAAATTATTACATATATGCATCTAGATACAAATTAGTGGCGAAATGATGCCGTCTTTTTGGCAATACATTTTTATACCTCAAAAACTACTTTTTGACATCACCAGTCTTTGCAGGGGCGTATGTGTATTGGATATTTCATCAAGGACAATATACTTAGTCAAAGTTATGAAATCTCACATTAATCTGTCTAGATTTTCAAATGAATCTTATGGTTAGAATGTCGATATAATTAATGAAACACTTCTATAATTGATGGTAATACTCGTTTTGGTATCTCCATTGATTAAATAAACTCGAGTAATCAATAACCCATTTCCTGTGTAATGCAAATGTCATTACAGAAGAATGCAATTACCAATTCATTGATTACTTAATTCTACAATATTATTTTACTAGATAATGAATGTCATTACCCACCTATTTTCCGAATTTATACATTTTAAGAAAATGGAATGAGTAATATTGAATATTGTGTCCATTCCTGCATTCATTTTTTCAAAATAGTTATCGGTCTCAAATGATTAAAAAAAATGTCGTATATAGTCATGGTGCTTATACATCTTTCTTATACCCGCCCGTCCCTCCAATTGTCGATGTCGTAGGCTATTTTTTACTCGAAAGTGGTAGGAACCACTCCTGAGAAATTTAATAAAAGATGCCCTAGCAATTACTCCTGTAGGTCTGTATAATATTTCGTATAATTAGAAGTTGCACAAAAAAGTTTATACCTACATAAATTGTTTTGCGACAAGTTCATATACAAAGTATTAACATTCATTAAATAACAATCTTTTTATTTTGTATAATGTATAATTATGATTGTCTGGGTTGTTACTTTTGTATTTAGATTTGATATCTATTGCGATTCAACCTTCAAACGAATTTCCTGTATTCGGTGCATCTATAATGTATTATGCGTAGTGCCGACTCGAAGTATTTTTGACAAGGTTTTTCAGTTATACGTAATCATGGGAAGATCTAGTTTTCGCAGCGATGTGACTGTGACTTCATCTCCGGATAGAAGGGTAGAACCTAAAGAAAAGGAATAGACGGCGCAAAGTGGAGCTAAAATTAAAAAGAACGGGACGTTCTTGTGTTGTGTATCGAAACGTAAAAGCGGAAATTGGCGGGATGGCGCGGGGCGCTCTCATTCCCGTTTTCGATTATATAATTTTTTCTACAGTCGATACCCAAAGTAGGCATTTGCGCTCGTATTTGACAACGCAAACGTCATCTTTTTCGAGGAATGTCACTTTGTCGCTTATAAGGGACAAAATAAAAAAACGCTCGCTCTTCCAATTATTAACTATAAATCAAATATGCATTGCTCAGAGTATCCAATGACAACGAGTAAATGACATACATCTAAGATGATCTAAGATGTCATCTTTAATTTGAGTGAAAGATGTAAATTTTTGGAAATATGTGAACTGCTCGATTGTAGAAAAAATCTTGTGTGTAATTCAAGCGCAAATTGATTGTCGATTTCAAGACTGTCTCTTTCAATCGACAATACATCATTTTGCGCTTTTAATACACAATAGATATTTTCAATTGATTTTAGTTTCTGGATGTAGGTGTAGAATTCCATATGCGACAAACGTCATTTATTAATATATGGTACCGATAAAAAGTGAAATCCGTAGTCAATTGGGTGCAAAAGAATCTAATGAAATCTATATACAATGTGTTTTTTTTTTAAATGAACGTACAGTTTTGCATACAATGTACTTACTTAATATTCTTATGTTCAGTTAAAAAAATACCTCAATAAATATTAATTTATAACAACTGTCACTAATTTTTTTTTGTAAAATGTATTTCACTAAGGAAAAGTACCTAATAAATAATTAAAGAATAACAAAATATACAAGATTTGTTTTCCATGCAGAAGAAGTATTCGCATCTTATTAGATGAGAAAAAAAAATCTTATTTCAATTGGTGTCAATATAAACCCTTAACATGGGGAGCAATAATCTGCAAAAAAACTTTTTCCCATGTTAATTGCCTATGTTCGCTTTTGGTATATTCACCCGGTATATTTTTTACTAACCCACTTACGATACTAATTCTTAAATTGTACTGTCTAAAAAGGTGTGCAATTCTTACGAATCTCAACTTACAAGACTCTTTTATCAAAAAAATTATTATTAGGTAAGTACCTATTTAAAAAAGTATTGTAACAATAAGTATTTTCAAGAAATCTCTAGTGTTGTAGTATGGTAATTCCAACACAGGATTTTATGTTTCATGAACAGGTCGACATATTGTCTATTTGGCAACAGGTTTTTGCTACTTGTGCAACTTTCTAAATTATTAGTTTTGCCATAATTGTTCAGAATCAATTTACCCTTCGCGGTGTAACATTGTACCTTCCTATTATTGGTGGAGTGAGTTTTGTAAGCTGTAAGTACCTTTCGATCAACTTTTCCAAATATAAGGTGTAATACAGAGTAAGTAGGTAAATTTATTTTTACGTTTTTAAAATGCCTTTTGAAAAGGATCAATTTAATATTAACGTTTTAATAGATTGTATAGTTTATGCTTTTAGGTCTGTGGAGGATATTAATTTTAAAATTAGGAGCCCTGATTGTAAGAAATTCTTAGATAAACTTCAAGACGTACAAATTTTAGCCCCAAACTCAAACAAGGACAAAGAATATATAAAGAAAAATGTTAAACGTGCGCTAAAAATGTTAAAAAGTTATGGGATGGAAACATGAATAATATTCGGGATCTTGTACGTTCCCGTTATGTAATTGCATCTAGTTGTAAGAACTTCGGTGAATAATTTCATAATCAATCTGATATATTTCCCGTCACTTCGAACCAATCTCTTGGTCTCCTAGACGAAAAGTTTAGTGCAGATATTTTAGACAACTTTAGCGGTGATGTACCCTTTGACCAGATTAATGTAGTTTCTGTTTCCATCCATTCTCCCGAGTCTTCATGGAAAAAACCCGACGTCGATGTAGGAATTATCTACGAATCGCAGTTGAGAGAATCAAGTCTTCATAAAGATAAAGATGCTATACCACTGCATCAAGCCGGTACACTTTCCGCGTTCAATCAATCTATCCCATCGTTAGCTAAAAATCATGATGTATCTAAAACAATTTTACCGTTGAACGAATCTAAGGCCACCATGAAAAATTGTGTTATTATAAGAAATACAACGTGGAATAAAATGTATGATTTAAAAAATAATGTAATGAAAAGTGGCTGGACAGATCACATGAACAAATACTTTGAAAAAATATTTCCCCTATGTGTCTTAAAATTTAAATTTCATAGAATAAATAAACCGAAACGTCCCGGAAAAATTACTTTCCTTGCTAAGGCAGAATGCAAGCATTCTAAATGTGCAAAATTCACTTTCTTTTGCACAGAAAATTTAGCTTTGCCAAATGATAAGGAAATCAACATTGTTAAAGTAGGGATAATTCAACATTTTGATGAAGCGCATCGACGATTTATTAAAGGTTCTCACAGAGCTAAGTTAGGTAGGGAACTCTTATATACGACACCCGGCATTTTAAAATTGAAAAAACTTGACGCTTGTGATAATAAAGTTTTGCTAGCTGGAAATTTAAATTATGCACCTGACAGCGTTATATTGAGAAAAATTTCAAGCGAACAGCATAAAAAATATGATCTTGATAAGGACCCCTTTCTTCATCTTCAGAAACTCCAAACCTATCTTAAAAAAATATTTCCAGGCAAAAAAATCCCTGGTTACATTCAAACCATAAGTTACGATCCATTTTTCGTGAGACTTGTAACCGAAAACCAATTGAAACATTTGCGTGCCTTTGTCATAAAAAACAGAAAACCCGTTTCTTTATACTTAGATGCTACGGGAACTTTGATTGGTAGACCCAAATGGATTAAGAAAAAAATCTTATATTACGCGATAATCATGAAAAGCCAAAACGCCACCTCGCCCATTCCAATTTGCGAGTTTATTTCTTCATCCCAAAATATTCCGGCACTTGCCTATTTTTTGAATTCGTTTCATCTAGATATGATCACCGTTTTTGGTAACACATATTTCCAGCTACGAAAATCAAAGAGACACATAATTGGTAAAATTGAGACCGATTTCAGTTTGGCTTTAATACAGTCCGCTCTTCTAACTTTTAATAAAATTGACTTAAAACAGTATTTAATCGAGTGCTGGTACTCAACCATCAAATCTTCGGCATACTTTGAAAATATTTTGGTAAAAATTCATGTTTGTTCATCGCATTTTTATCATTTGTGTATAACAAACAGTAAGAAATTTTCAAAATTATTTGTAGTAAGAGAGGTGTTCAAAAAAACATTTAGTATTATTATTAACAGTACTAGCTTGAAAGATATGTTTGAGTTATTTAAACATCTTTATGTGATTTTTGGATTAAAGACTAAATGCGTACATTTTGACCAATCGTTTATTTACATTAACTCCTTTGAGCGTAAAACACAAAGACAATACATTTTTCAAGAACTCAAATATGTCTGGAAACCCGAGTTAGCAATACGCGACGGCGAAACAATAAAACAATGTTCCCCATTTTATAAACATTTTTACTCCTTATGGCAAAGTTTAGAAAACTTAGGTTTAAATATAGATGAAACAGGAGAAAACAATATATTTTATAATAGCAATTTTATGAAATATCTTTTGGAATCCGTGTTAACATATTATCCTATTATATCTGGCTTGATCATAAAGAAATTAGGGTACATTCGTGATAATAACGGTGTAGTTGAAAGTTGGTTCAGAATAGTAAAAAAGGACATATTTTTAGGAAAAATGCGAAATTTAGCTGCCAGATATATACGTAGAATGTCTGAATTAATTACACCGAGATTAATTCATGAAAAGGTGCCACTTAAAGCGACTAGAAAAGGCAAAAAATCAAAGGTTACTACATCAAATAAAATCAAATCTACCCGTTTAGTTACAAAATCAAGTAAACATATAAGCAAGGGTGGAATAAAAGTTTCGGGAGATCAATCGTCAATTACAACCAAGGAAGAGGAATGGGGTAAACGAACTGAAGACATAAACAAGTATATCAGTAAATTTTCTGTGGCTCCGCAAGTGATCGACTTACATAAAAATTTTTTATCTAGTACACTAATACCCAATAAAACAGATTCATTAATCGAGTGTGATGAATCAAGCATTTACTTAGAAAACCTCCCACCTTCAGAATTCTATTTCGAATTTAATTCACAAAATGCGAAAAATACTGATAGTCCTCAAAAAAAGGACAGCGAGAATGTTTTTGAACAAAATATATCTCCTGGTAAAGAAACGTATTCAGACATGCGTCAAACAGTAGATCTTGATATATTTTCGAACTGGGAATTATCAGGGTTTCGCAATGAAGCTACTTTGCAGCTACCAATTTTAGAAAACCATTTAGTTGACAATATAAATTATTACATACATAGGGATTTTCGCTATATTGTTGGTATCTACACGGGAAAAACTAATTGTATTTTAACTGAAATAGACTCCCTTGATTTTGCCTCCTTAGATTCCAACAAATGGATAACTAATCAAGTTATTGATATTTGCTTGGATTTGATTATAGGAAAAATGACAAACATCAAGTATGTTTCAACACAAATAGATATATTCACTAGAGAAACTTTTCCAAAAATTGAACCAACTATAGAAAAATTTTTGTATGTAGTCCACGAAAATCAGAACCACTGGTGTTTAATTTACGCAGATCTTGTCCATAAAAAATTTTATTACATGATCCCCTTAAAAATAGAGAATTGGAAAAGACTAGAACATATTGGCGCAAGTTTGACAAAATTTTAAAGGCGAACGACATCTCAACGAGTAATTGGACATGTGACGTTCTTGAACATGTTTTACAAACGGACGGTTGTAATTGCGGTCCTATATGTATATACATAGCTACCTGTATTATTGAAAATAACACACCGCCGTTTTCTGTAACCACTTACAGAGACACCATTAAAAGATATTTATTAATTAATTCCAACGATATGATTAATATTTGCATTCATTGTTCCAGGGAGAAAGCTCCACGGTTTGCAGAACAAACAATGGTTGAATGCTGTATGTGTCCTAGATGGACCCATTCTTATTGTGTCTTGCAAAATAATACTATTTATAAAATTGATGACGCAACGAAATTTAAAAATATACAGTTTAAATGTCGATTGTGCATGATGCAGACGGCAAGTTCATGATCATTATTCATTACAGTATATGTGCTTAGTATTCCACTGATTAATTTTATTAAGCCTAGTCACACATCGTTCAACCGTTGATTGATAAATATAATCACTCAACGGTTCAACTAACTTAGGTAAAAATGCAAGGGGCTTAGGAAAAAATGCACGGGCTTAGGCTTGCACCCATTGAGAGGGTCTGCATTTTTGTTAGGGAAACGTCCTCCTTGCCTCGCCCGCCCTGTTTTTTTTTCAAAATTTTTAGGAAAAAATGCACGGGCTTAGGCTCGCACCCATTGAGAGGGTCTGCATTTTTGTTAGGGAAACGTCCTCCTTGACTCGCCCGCCCTGTTTTTTTCAAAATTGTTAGGTAAAAATGCACGGGCTTAGGCTCGCACCCATTGAGAGGGTCTGCATTTTTGTTAGGGAAACGTCCTCCTTGCCTCGCCCGCCCTGTTTTTTTTTCAAAATTGTTAGGAAAAAATGCACGGGCTTAGGCTCGCACCCATTGAGAGGGTCTGCATTTTTGTTAGAGAAACGTCCTCCTTGACTCGCCTGCCTCGCCCGACCCTGTTTTTTTTTCAAAATTAGGAAAAAAGCACGGGCTTAAGGCTTCGCACCCTATTGATGAGGGTCTGCATTTTTTTAGGGAAAACGTCCTCCTTGACTCGCCCGCCCTGTTTTTTTTCAAAAATTGTTAGGTAAAAATGCACGGCTTAGGCTCGCACCACATGTAGAGGGCTGCATTTTTGTTAGGAAACGTCCTCCTTGGCCATCGCACCGCCTGTTTTTTTTCAAATTGTTTAGGAATAAATTGCACCGGCTTAGGCTCGCACCCATTGAGAGGCGTCTGATTGTTGTTAGGGAACGTCCCCTTGCACTCGCCCCGCCCTGTTTTTTTTTCAAAATTTGTTAGGAAAAATGCACGGCTTTAGACTCGCACCCATTGAGAAGTCTGCCATTTTTGTTTAGGAAACGTCCTCCTTGCACTCGCCCCGCCCTGTTTTTTTCAAAATTGTTACGGGTAAAAATTGCAACGGGGCTGAGGCTCGCACCATTGAAGGGTCTGCAATTTTTGTTTAGGGAAAACGTCCTTTCCTTGCCTCGCCCGCCCCTGTTTTTTCAAAATTGTATAGAAAAAATGCACGGCTTAGCTCGCACCCATGTGAGAGGCGTCTGCATTTGTAGGGAAAACGTCCTCCTATGACCTCGCCGCGCCTGTTTTTTTTCAAATTGTTAGGAAAGAAAAAGCACGGGCTTAGGCTCCACCCACATTGAGAGGGTCTGCATTTTTGTTAGTAGAAACGTCCTCCGTGCTCGCCCGCCCTGTTTTTTTGTTTCAAAATGTTAGGTAAAAAATGCACAGGCTTAGGCTCGCACACCCATTGAGAGGGTCTGGCATTTTTGTTAGGAAACGTCCTTCCTTGCCTCGCCCGCCCTGTTTTTTTTTTTGTTCACAATTGTTAGAAGTAAGAATGCACGGGCTTTAGCCGCACCCATTGAGAGGGTTGGCATTTTTGTTAGG